TCATTGTCGATATCGTTAAGGTGTTACGGATGCGTATAAATTATTAATTTTTATTTTATAGATTTTTGTCGAAATTAGACAAAGTCTGAGGCTTCATACAGATTTATGTCCACGGTATACTTGTCTAACAATCTTCGAGTTGTGTCGCCATTGGCGGCTTGATTTTAGTACTGGAGGGGATTGGAGTTAAAAAGGAGGGATTCAGTCTTCTTTAGAAATTCACAGGAATTAAAAAAGAAGTAGAAAGAGACATGCACAATTCTGTTCAGATCAGCAGATTCAAATTGCAGTTAAAGGTCGACTGCTATTATACGGAAACGACGAAAACGACGCATTTATATATGAAACTTCTTTCGATTCAAGACATATGTCCTTTGCCATAATCTTTATCCTCGCGATGCTATATGACTTTGAWTTTAAAACCGACGGAGTGCGAATGTATGTTTGAAGTCACGTCATTCCATGTGAAAAATTTTAAACACGACCGCATTGCATGCTGGTGGACCATAGTCCTGTTGGCTGTTGCAGGCATCGGCGGGCAGCTCGGTAGATCGAGTTCAGTTTAGAGCACATGTATTCGGCAAATGCACGCAAACCTTGGCAAATGATAAATTTCATTAATTTTACCCGCATTATTAACAGTTAAACAGCTAGCGCCTCTTTTGACTTACAGCGCGAGCTATCGCACTATGGCTTTGATACAATGTTTCACTTTATAGTTTTAGCATTAAATAACGTACTTTAACCCTATATTCAGCTAGGCTTTTTTTTCAATCTGTGACTGGGGGGGGGCTCATTCGGCCCCCCTCAATATCTTTGGAACCAATATAGGTCTATGAGCTTGACATTTTTACACAATGGTCGCCCACGCCAAAACGAACCACCACACCCAGTCTTGACCCGTGGGAACCAAATGTGACGTCATAATGACGTCATTTACACCATTTTAASGATTTATAATTYATTTTGATAAATTGCCTACAATTCCATAGAGAATGCTGCAATATCATCTGTTCATTATTGAAATGACTTGAAAATAAAATTTTTGTATTTTTTAATTGACCCATGTTCTATATGACGTCATAATGACGTCATAGATATCAGGTAATTTTTTATAAATRATATATCTATATCTAGATAACCAGTGAAATATCTCCTGTGATGTTGTGGTTCGTTTTGTATCCATGGTAACAGTTGTGACGTCATAATTGTGATGACGTCATTTCCTATAGTGTCTTTGTCGTCTTTGAATAATTTGACTCCAAATCTCACTTTTTTTATCTACATCGTTATTTAATGGTAAAATTTACAATTTGAGGAACAAGCAATCTTGACAAGAATATCCGCCATCTTAGGATCCGCCATCTTGGACAGCCATCTTGAATTTTCTAAAATGCCATTAAAAAACTAAGCATTGAGGCAAACAGCTCAAAATGTCTGAAATACTTCTCAAACTAACATTTAATGAAATGTGAAAAAATGACTGAAAACTACCCACCCCTCCCTCCAAAGTTTTTGTTGTCGAAAAAGTATTATGAGATCCCCCCCCCAGTCTGAATAGGGTTAATTAATAACATTCTATTAGCATTGCGCCTGTCAATCAGAGACACATTATGAATAATTCATTTTGTAATTTATTCCATTCAGCTCCATCTTGAAAACATGT